CTCTTTTAAGCATGTCTGATTGAATACATTTTTTCCCATGTTATAACGTCATGGTCATGCGCGCATTAAGGCATTAAAAAAATCTATAATGGATAATTTTTCACGTTCTAATGAACGCTCAGTACATTGTTAACCGTTTTGCATTTAAAAGCATAATGAAAAGAATTACAGCACAATTTTGTATAAATACTTGTACTAATTAACAACATATAGTTTTGTACTCCTTGTATCCCTGAAGATGATCTTGGAAGAAGATCGAAGTACTTGGGAAATGAAAATAAAAGATATTTAAACAGCTACAGCACATATTTCTCATCCTTTAACATCAATAGACGGAAGGTTATTCGTGAGTCTGAACGGATTTTGTTAGAAATTAGCAGTCATAATGTCTGTAATTTATTCAATCAGACATGCGTACACACACATGCGTACACACACACACACACACTTTTGTATCCTCACACCAAAAAAAGTAGAATCTAGACTAGGTTACATTTGTCATTCATGTACATTTGTGTCTAGTTTATCGTATGTAGTAGTGAGTTAACTGAAAAATGTTCCGTTTAACAATGCCAAGATATTCATGTCCTGTTCAGTCAGATCTTTGGATTACATCTTGGATCGTACATTTAAAAGCGTCTACCGTAATCTTTAAACGAAGTATTTGCGCACATGTTATTATATTGACTTTTGTCCTTGTTTTGATGTGAAGAACCCAACCCTGAAGTTTCCAAAAGTATTTTAGATACACCCTGTACATGAGTGAGAGTTTGAGAGAGGGCAAGAGGGAATTTTCGCACCTACTGAATACACATGTTTTTTTGTTTTGTTTTTAAAGAAATCATGTTGTTGGAGAATTAATACTCAATTATGCTAAACAAATTTCTAATCTTTACTCGTACTTTTTGTCTGAATTCTTTTTTTGCTTTTTAGCTTTTGTTCTCATTAAATTCAAAACAATTAATAGCCGTTATACACAATCTACTGCTTCAAAAATTACATCAACTATCGCCCTTCCCACTGAGAGATCTAACACTAATGTTTATTAGTTCTAACAAAAAAAGTCAGATTGTATAAAACTGATCTTTATCATTTATTTTAAGCACTTCTTGGAAACTCTGCCCGTTCCTCATTTTCCCTTCCCGCGTTCATCAAAAGCCTGGATTTCAAGACTTGAACCAGAAATACACAAAATGATGACGACTAATAAATATAGATGAAACGTCTGATAAAAAACGAAGTTATCAACAACTCCCCCCCCCTCCACCAAAAAAAAAAAAATTAGCATCAATCAGCACGACATATGCATGTTTCCTAAGTTTGTCTTTTTTTCGCATTAATTCTCGTCGGCATGTGAATATGTGTTAAGCTCAGGAGGTGCAGGTTGGCCTAGTGTTTCTCGGCACAGAAACGAAAATCGGTGAAACGAGTTCGAATTACAGCTGGAAATCTTGTTCACCTCGTTTTATTGTCAGTTTTACTTTGTTTTCTTTCTTTTTTTTCTTTCTTTACATGTCAGGGCGTAAAAAAACAAATCTACAAAAAACAGTCTTTGAAAATGGCTGGCTTTAGCCGAAATTACTTAAAGATATATTTACAAATGCAAACCGAAAATCAAAAAATATGATTAGAAATATCAATAAGTAAATTAAAAAAATAATCAACGAGTAACTTTTGCTGGTTTTTAATCAAACTTGCATAAATGCAATATTACTGCCCAAATACATTCAATACACACACACACACACATATATATATATATATATATATATGAATAAATATAGTCTTAAGATGTGGTATATTTATAGGATAAAGTGTTCAATATCAGAGATAGAGCGTGTGTGGCCTGACGATGGCATCTAACATGAAACAGACCGTCGCCTCTAAATGTTGACTTCTTTGTTCACTTTTAGATATATATATATATATATATATATATATATATATATATATATATATATATATATATATATATATATATATATATATTTTAATGAATAGTCAATATACACAGAAAAAAATGTATGCAGTTAGAACCGTGTAAATATACCTATCAAAACTTAATCTTTTATTTGAAAACAGTGATGGCCGAAAATCTTCGGGTTTAAGTCTTTCATTTTCATTTTGATTGATTTGTTTTCTACGGTTTATCAACCCTTTGCAGGTTATTTAAAGCCAGGAAATAATTTTAGATTATAAGAATTTTTTTTTTTTTTAGATAATAATGAATTAGTGATACAAGTTTTATCTGGGGTGAGATGGGGTGGAGTCATACTTTTCTCAAAGGTATTTCCGCGTAAGTGAATATAATGAACCCGATGGGAATTGGAACTTTGCTCTCCGATTAACAATTCCACATCATTATCCATTCCATCACCCACACATCCAAGCTTACAGCACCTGGTATCCCCAAGCGGTGACTCATCTAGGCACTGACCAGGTTCGACATTGCTTAACTTCGGTGATCGTAAGGGAACCAGTGTCTCAACGGTATATGGCCCTAACCCCCTTTCATTTTCAAATGAAACGGGATGAGGGCCATATATTTATCCGTTTCCACCTGGAATAAAGATATTAATTCGACACCAGGAGAAAGTTACCCAAAAGTTCAACAGATATCATTTACCTGTATATATATATATATATATATATATATATATATATATATATGTGTGTGTGTGTGTGTGTGTGTGTGTGTGTGTAATGTCATCCAAAGAAAGACTGTTTCCCTGTATCACAGCTCATCAGTGTGGCTAGACATCCGGCTAATTTTTACGTACTTATTCTTCTAATAAACACGCCAATGACCGAGATTGCTCAATTCGAAATAGTAGTTATTGTTTACAAATTAGCGCTTTCTCCAAGAGTGCTCAACCGAAATTAAATTTCCTGGGAGCGTGAATATATATATATATATATATATATATATATATATATATATAAAACAGATGACATGCATTGAACGGATGTCAAAATTCGTTGAAAAAATGCACCTCTAACCTATCTAAACTTAACCTCTTTTTCGAACGTAACTCATAATTGATACAACAATAGTTAATAAAAATGAACAAGCTACCGCCCCTGTCTGAATGATTGGATTTCTCTGTATCCTTGGAAACAAAAAATATGAATATATATGCTATTAAAACTCAGTAAATTTTAAAATAAGTTACTCTAAAATTCCCTTGAAGATCAAACAGAATTAATGCTTTTGATTTAATTATATAATTGAATTTGAAGTTTTTAGTTTCTATTTTTGAAACATGGTCAATACTGTGTAGCGATGAAACCATATTTTTGAATCAGTTAATTTATAATATTTATGCTCTGTAAATTTACTTTGAGCACTGTTTTGTAAAAATAGAAATATCAATAAGAACACCGGATTATATATCTTACTGTTTTTTCTTTTTTTTAATATATATATATATATATATATATATATAAGGTGGTAGATAATATATTACCTACAAAGAAGTAAGCAAACAAATCTATAAAGGTGTAATGTACATGTGCATAGGATGAACATCCGGCAGTGTATTCATATTTATACTTTTTATGTTTGCTTTGTAATGAATACAATTCATCTTTAAATCTCTGTTTGGTGTCCCCTGAGGTTCGTTTATTGCTACATCAGTTCATTACCAGTCAGTGGTGAATCGAAACTGCGGCCCCTTTCTACATTTGCCCTCCAGAGTCTCTTCAGATGCGACGACGCCCTTGAAAAACACATCGAAAATCGTTACCCGTAGAAAATTGCCCTGCAGATAAAGATGTTGCAAACTTTTTTTTTTAAGACGAAAAGACAAGGCACTTAAATAAGAAGAACTGATCTTAAAGATCTTTATGTGTCGTTTATAGTTTAGGCGATCATGACCCTCCACATCTTCCTGTCCCTTGTAGCTGCTAATATATTTTGTCTTTTCAACGTTTCTCCCAAACCCTGTTATACCATCCATTTAATCAAGCCCATCAAGTATGTTACGTGCTTTTTCCGCTTTCCATCAATCTGTCCTGTGAGTATCATATTTTCCAAGCCCTCTTTCCTCATTACGTGCCCTAGAAATTTCAACTGACTCTTTCTGATGTTAAGTATAAGTTTCCTTTTTTGTTTTCATTTTCTCTAAAACCTCGTTGTTGCTATTACGGTATAAATTTTAGGGGAAAAGAGTTATAAAGGTTTGCCACTAAAAGACTCAACGATATAAAACAAAAATAACTTTTACAAGCACCTGAGTATCTTGGGGTAGCAAAGTTTGGAACAGTTGAATCTTGTATGGAAACATTTTCAAATCCATTCTGGCGATGACAGAGCGACGACAGGTTGATGGATCCTCAAGGATACTCTGTCGTACAACTTTCATCGCTGCGTCAGGGCGCAAAGTGCGCTTATGACCTCTTCCCGGAAGATCGCTGACTGATCCAGTTCTATCAAACCGGACGATTAGATTCCGAATCCTCTTATCGCTACTGAAATTAAAACCGATATCTATCATACATCTTATAAGATACACCTTTTCCTCTTTCCTCATGTCCAACGCCCTCATTTAGTTAACCCTCTACCTTGAGTGGATCTTGGGCCTTGTATCAGGTAAACAATAGTAAAGCGTCAGTCCAAGATCTGAGCTTACATTTGGGAATGTCAAAATTAAGAAATTTTACCATCAATGTAGTGTAGTACCATCTTCTTTTTCTTCTAATTCTTTAGAGCGTGAGTGATTATGGCCCTCCACAATTTCCTGCCCTTTGTATCTGAGTAAATTTAGTCTTTTTGCTATGTCTCTTAAAACCTTTTTTGTTATCCATTTTCACAAGCTCGTTAGGTATGCTGCGTGCTATTTTCCTCTGTTTTTTAAGCATTTCACCCCCCCCGCAGCAAGGTTCGACTAGCACGCAAAAGATTACAGAGAGCGGGAGCAAGAGTAAAAAAAAAAGAAAAAGAAAAAAGTGTCAGACGAAAGGATGAAGAGAAGAGCGGGGAATAGATCAAGCCATTTGGAGATGTCGATTGACATCGCATTGCATAGTTGGAGATTATATCTATCAGGGAAGCAAATAAGAGGAAGGGAGTTCCACAGACGGGAAGTGCGAGACATGAAGCTATTGGAATAGAAGAGACAGCCACATTTAACCGTTTCGACAGTGAAAAGGAGCAGTTACTATTAAAATATTTATAGAAAAGATAGAGGGAGGCGACGGCACGTCTGTAAGAGAGCGTTGCAATCAATACGTCTTGTGAATGTCAAATTTTCTTAAAAAATTTCCTCATGATGCGGCCTATACATTTCAACTGTCTCTTTTTGACACGTCATTCGTTATCTACACGGAGTGTTTTGTTACCCCAATTTTTTTTTAAACGCCCTCGTAATTCCTAATTAGCCACTTGTTTCTTTGGTTCCTCTGCCCACTACTCTTCTGACTCGGTGGGGGTTTGTAGCACGCTGGAAAGGGACAACCAGAGGACTATCCATTTTCGGAAAACCGAGGTGACCATCATAGGATTAAAACAGTGTTTCCCGACCTTTCTTCCTTGTGGAAGTGTCAAAACATTTCAGACCGAGAGAAGCACAAATAGATATTCCATGTAACAAGAAATACATTTTATTTACAAAAGCAAAATGTCGTAGAAATATAAATCCTGACTAAAACGATTGAAGGAAGGAAATTTAAATTCAATTTTAAGCATATCAGACGTTAAAACGTAAAAAGCCATTGATTATAAACAAAAAATGTTTGATAAATTATCAATAACTAACGGTGAAAATGTGGATTAACAGTGTTGATATGTTAAGGCACATCATAAAACACGTGTAACATTTGACGTCCTTATTCCACAAGTCATGCTGTATTAAAATTAAACTTGCAGTCAAGCCCCTTAAGGCGTTGACAAATCGAGGCCGCTTAAGCATACTTCCAGATAATCAAAAGGAAAGTAACTCAAAGTCATGTACAGATAAAGTAATGCTTTTAAAAACTAAAATAACATTTTTCTTAATTAATTCTGTCATATTGTAACTCAATAACTCTCATTTTAAATGCATAAAAAATGCTAGTCTCAAAATTAAATGAACCCGAAGTCTTTATAACACCACACACTAAAATAAAAATAAATTCAATTTCAAATCCCTTTGAAAATGTAATCTATTATAAGAAGTAAACACCAATAATTTTATTTAAATAATTTCTGATATCATGAATATGCATACACCTGGGTTCCCCCACACAGTAATATGATTGGGTGGTGTCAGCCATAAATACAGACTGATGTGTAGGTACAGGGAGGACGCCCATTTTCTTTGCCTATTGCCTACCAGTACGACGAGGACCAGTCCATTACGGTTACCTGCTACATTGGTCTACCCGGTTACAGTAGGCCAAAACCACTTTGCTACTTCGAACAAATATATCCCTTTCCGGGACATATCAACTTCCTACTTATTTGCTTTTAAAAATAAAGTAAAGCAGTTTGTTTGGTTTATTGATTTATTTTGTTTTATGACTTATCAACACCTCAATGGGTTATTTAATCCCGACAAAATTTTTAGAATAGGTTCGTATGAATAGAATATGTATTTCTTGTAAGAAATCAGTTTGGAGATCAGATTTCATTGACGTATTTTTGTAAAGAGTTTTTTTTTTTCAAGTCAAATGTATTGTTGGTATATTTTTTATCAAAATATATTCCTGCCAATATATATATATATATATATATATATATATTTATATATATATAATTTTTATTTTTTATTTTACAAGTTTTACAATAAAAATTTATTTTAAACTTTTAATTGTGTCTTGACCCCAGTTTGGGGTTAAATAATTTTTTTTTTTTTTTTTTTACTATGTTGTTTAGCTTACTTTTTCTCGATCTTTTTTTCTTGTGAAATTTTGGTATTAAAAATAGTTTTTTAAATTTCAAAAGCACAAATATAAATTCCATGTTTCAGGAAATATATTTTATTTTTGCATAAATTCTAAAATGTCGTAGAAATATTCAACTAAATGATGACACAGTCAATGTCTTAGGATATATTTAAAATATTTTTATTGCATTTTTAAATCTTGATAATATAAATCAATAATCACAATGGTCTATTACGTCGAATATCGTTGTTCCTTTAAAATTTCCTTGAATGAAATTTTTTATTTTCAAACATTTTAAGATCATTACTATATAAATAACTCCAAAATGGTTTGCTGTGATTTTAAATATTAAGCATGGCAGGAGATTTTTTGGGTCATATGAACAACAGAATGTATACCATTTTGCCGCCATCTTTCCATAATAGATTAAATATTTATTTTCAATTTGGGGTCGGCGTTGTTTGAGACCCATTTATGTATCATTATGAGACACGTCAGGATGCGATCATTACCAACTTTGTTTTGAGATATTGGAAGTTACAAACTTATTTCCCCGTTGAGCTAATAGAGCCAGATCATAGAAAAGATCAACTGCTATATTTCTATCATCATCCTGGTTTTTGGAAACGTGTATAT